TAGTAAGGCACTTGTTACTACTAGCGTGGCACTTGTTACTAATAGCTTCTTGTTACTACTAGTAAGGACGTGACTCGACGTGGCGAAGACCCCGACCCAGATCGAGCCACGTCGATCAAAGCACGTCGACCCGTCTCCGGTGCTTTCATCGACGGGTCTCCGGTTCTTTCGACACTATCGGGTCTCCATGTATCCGGCACAGCTGCCGGCACAGCTGAGAAGAGTCCAACTGAGTCCGGATCTTTTGGGGGGGCAGCTGTTACACCTTTCCCCATCGCCATGATGGCTTCTCAAAACAAGGCTGCCGAGGCAACGACTTTCGAGTTTCTGGAGACAACTAGAGAGTTGCGATAGTGGGTTGAAAGGGATGGCCCATGAGTTCCCCCAGTACTATCTTAAGTTGTACAAAGTTCACCAGAGTTCACGCGGAATTACCCTCATAAGTAAGCCTGGTGGTCTCTTCCCCATCTTCCAAGACACTCGTTGCCGCATACGGATCATGGAGAATCCCAGGAAGATCAGCGCTGCACAAGGCAGCAGCAGAAAGGCTAGTCCTTAGGCAGCGGCTAGTCACTCTTCGTAGACGAGGGGGACTTTACAAACTTAAGAAAGGCTGAAAGGTGAATGGCTGTGGTGCATGGTTGTAACGTTTCACTCGGATTTTGACCAATGAGTTCCTCCCAAGCTGTGGAAATGACCGTTGGTCTTCATGACCGTATCACTGGTTTGCCTCTTTGGGGTGTCTCACATGATTGAACAAAATCGGAGGATATCGAAGGCCATGCTCAACCGTGGTTCTTCCATCAACCTCGTCTGGGAAACATGGTCCTAATTTTGGTGTTCAGTGTGAGGTCGCAAAGGCAAGCCTCCTTTTGACCTCAAGTCTGGGTTTCCATGTGTCTTTCCCATTGAGCGGTGTGGTGGATCCCCCATATATCGGCACAAGGCTCCCGCGCCGCACGAGCCGCGTGGACCGCGTTTCCACCGCGTGGACCGGCCGAGGCTCGGCCGTACTCCCAGGGCGACTCCCCGTGTAAGGGCGGCACCGCGTCCGCCCACTCACCGATCGACTCGAGCAATGCCTGGCGAGCTGTTTCTGTTTCCTCATGTGTTCGGCTTCAACGGATGGTTTGGGGTCGATTCCCTGGGGAAATGTGTGAGAAACCATGAGAAGTATATATAGACATACACAGGATCCATCAACCTCCCACACAGACTTCCTATCCCTGGCCCTGGACCTGAATAGGAGAGAAGCAAGTCTCTTGTGTGGAGTTCGACAACCTTTACACTTCAGCAGGAGAAATGCTCCAAGTCGTTCACACAAAGCCTAGGGCCTAGGGCCGCATGCTCCACCCCTTGGCCTCTTCGCATGGACCCTCCGCTCGTTCACCCGGCCTCTTTCACCGAGGTGGGCCGGCCCGAGACATTGGGATGCACCAGGCAGGTGTAAAGCGCTTGCACCATCGGCCGGATCAGATCCCCAGTGTCGCGACGAAAGGCATCCTGTCGACGCTGCAAAGGTTTCGGCGCCGAAGACGGAGCAAAGGTAAGGCGCCAAGTGGTTTGATGAGGTTTTCATGCGGATGATTGGAAGGAAGGAAAAACACCTTGGTTGCTATAAATGTATAATTCACATTAAATCACATGCCTGAACACACGTCCAACAACAGCAACAAGACACCACACTTGGAAGAATAGAGTTCTATGTTTGTCTCAGTGCAAACCTGCCAGTAGTCTTGGGTTTGAGCTGATGAGCTGGTGTTCCGAATTCACTCACAATGGCGAACGGACCAAGGACGTAGGGCAGTGACAAATACCCCTGCTTCCACCTCCTAGCTCGAATCTAGGTCACTTCCCTCTTGCAATCTCAAAGATTGATGCTTAGAAAATGACCAAACAAATAGCACCCCGCGGTCAAAATCCTCTGTGAATGACATTTAATAGTCCAAACATCAAGCTCCAAGTGAAGGAGCTGGAGGATAATCATGTAGCAGTGGTCTGTTTGTGGTGTGCTTGTTTCTTGCAGCCTTGGTGACTTCTGCACTTGTGTCCAACAGCTGTGTCCCAAAACAACAACTTCCACTGTTCCCAACTTATCAGGTTTAATATCTCTATTTCTCTGTTCAATGATGGGTGTTCTGGACTCTGTTTTCAGGTTCAATACCCAGCGAAGCAGGTCTGGTCCGTTGGACATGACTCGTGGAACACCAAGTGCCCATCCAACGACCAATGGTACCAGTAAGTATGCAGGTCTCCTGCGACTCAACAGGTCTCCTCGTTCGAGGCTGGGAGGGAAGGGCCCTAACGGCTCAAGAAATTACACCAGAAGAACCATGTAACGACCCTTGGGCGAAGATTGAAAAGCAAATCACCACTTGAAGCAACAGGCGTCCATATGTCTCACAGCATTGCCCCACATGGCGATATCCTGGGCGATCGCCGGGCATGGCGAATTTCACCGCTTTACGGCTTCAACTTCCCAGATCAAGGGAAACTGAAGAGACTGAAGAGTCGTTTCATGTCATTTCCATCTGACTGAAGGAAGGGGGCAAAACGGTGAACAATCTGTGACAACCCTTACATAGATCCGTGCTTGTAAGTGTCTGTATCATCTGGGCGTGTATTGTAACAGGCAGACTATCTTCTTTCTTCAAAAGGGTCTTTGGGAGGTCTCCGACGACTTTAATACAGTTGAACACAGCTAATTAAGCTCGAGGATCACTGCAATTGCAAGAATGAGTGAGCTTCCTTGGTTCACTTCACTTTAAAAACCAGCTTGGAATGAACATCGCAAACCCCTGACTTTTTTTGCGCCGTTCAAGTATAGGCCTGGTTGTCTGTCGCGACTGACTCGGCGTCTCCTGCAGCACGACAGAGATATCAATCTGGGACACGACGGGACCCTTTTGTGATGAATAAAACTGTGGTTAATTCCGATAGCCGATAGCCATGTGCTCACAAGTGAACCGAACCATCAGTCTCCCACAACCCCTACCTTGGACAACTCCAACATACTTCCACACCCTCTCACCAGCCTCACCTCCCACATTCTTCCCACCTTCCCCACCTTATCCCCACCCCACACCACCGGCCCCACCTCTTAAAGACTCCTCCTCCTCCTCCTCCTCCTCGTCTCGGTCGCATTCCCTTCGCATTCGCGTCCTTCGTCGTCCCTCGCGTCGTTTCTGTTCGTCTCGTCTCTGCGGTCTCAGGCGCCATGCAACTTCTTCGGCGCACTTCGGCGTCGTCGAAGGCCACTTGGCTCACCGAGGCCGAGGCGCCGGTGTTGTGGCACACCTCGTGTCGCACACGCGTCGCGGCGTCCGAAGAGAGCGCCGGAACGAGCCGGGAAGCACCTGGAAGGACCACATCAGGTCAGGGGAAGCCCCAACTGGTAGAGCCCGGTAGAGCTGAAATTGTCGGAAAGACACGGCATGCATCATAGGGGAGCTTCACTTTGAAGTCTGGTGTGAGCAAATAGTTGGTCAGCTTGCAAGCGCAAGGAATGTGGGAAACTGCATACATTGTGTTAAAAAAACACATAACCTTGATAGACTCGAGCTGGTCAACCTTTATAGACTCGAGCTGGTCCTTCCATCTTCACACGTGAGAAAGCAGTCCTTCGCCAAAGTAAGAGTTGAGAAAGAGATCAACATCTTTTATTAATTTGGAAGCTGTTGTTTTCTCAGAACAAACATAACTGACTTGGATTGATCGCCGGCCGCCTCACACAAATCATCTGAATGTGCAGAAGTAGATCTTGAATTGGCGCTCTTGTATACCAGTTTGACCTTTAAAGTAATCAATATCTGGTTGCAACAGGTGTTGGCCATCCCGGTGTGGAATTGAACGCTTTACTGTGGGATTGAATCATGGAACGCTCCAGTCAGTTGAAACATGTTGAAACCTGTCCACCAACAAGCCTCCTGATTTGGAGACATTCAGCCGCTACATAGTAGGTGTCGTTTTCTTACGTGCTCAAACCATTTCCAGGGTGGTCGCTTTTGGAAGAACGGCGTTCGTGGTATGCCTCGGCCCGTGTTGACCGGTCAAGGGGCTCCATGAAGCACAGCATCGAGGTGGTTGCTTCCATAGACTGTCCTTAGTAGCCAGCAAGTATGTCAAACCCAAAAAATAACACAGGCCATGACCCATTCCTTGCCACCCAGGCTGTTGATGTATTTTGCATCATTTCAGGCACATGTGAATCTGCAAAATGGGCAGAATCCTTGATGGACCCCTAAGCACATTCCTTTCCAACGAATTGGTTCATTAACACATTAAGTTGTATATACATGTCTGCCACCATACTCAAATGTTGTGGGCCGAGATGGTGTTTTGATTTGGGCCACCAGGTTCTCCACGTCAACACGTCAACTGGAACCCGATCTCGATCCCCCGCAGATTTGTCACTAGCAACTGTTCCCCATATGAAGCCCAAACCCTCCAAAATGCTCCAAAACAACAATTGACAATCCTTCCCAGAATTGGTTGGTTGGTTTTAGTGAAAGACCCAACACCACAGGGAGCAAGCTGATTGAAAGAAGAGCATTTTGCGCCCAGAACACGTCCATCTCATGAGCCGGTCTGGGCGTCTCAGCATGCGAACGCAAATTGCGTGCATCAGTCGACAACAGCGTGTCATGTTTCATCCATGCCATGCCATGGGTGTGTATGAAACATATTAAAACTTCTACTAAACATAATATGCATAAACACCAAAAAATACTGCATGGTAGGCTCATCTTCAGCTGGCCTCTCTTCCGAACATGTTTTGCCATTTTGGATTGCGCTCCTGACATCGGAAAAAACAAACACACACACACACACAAAAAAAAAAAAACAACAATTTTGCCGGTGATTTTGCCGGCACTCTCCGTTTCAGCACGCCCAGTGGCTGCAGCACTCTCCACAGCACGCTGTTGTCTGCCTCAGAGTTGGGACTTCGGCTGAAGCCCTCGTCATAGCCGGGGCCGCCCACTTCCAAGAGCCGGTCAAAGTACTTGCCTGGAAAAGGTCGAAGATGGTCGGGCAGCGGCTTATGACATGTCGATGGGTCGGGCAGCGGTCCGGTTTTGTGCAAGGTCGTTGCATGATGATGAAAGGAGAGGCTGAGCGGCGCCACTGCAAAACAAGAATCTACCTAATGTTCCGTCGCGTGGAGTTGAACGAGACATGTCGAGATTTAAAAAACACGTTTTTTGGGAACTGTGGACAACAAGATTATTACAAGATATTACAAGTGACTACCCGGAGAAACCAATTAGCAACAACCTCATGATCCATGGACTCCTAGACTCCTAGACTGGCTGCATGCGCTTGGTGGTCCTTAGTACAGTAGGTAAAGTGTAGGTGTAGGCTATGCTCCCACATGTAAAGAAGGGCTTTGACATGCTTTTGTCAAAGCATAAGGATGCACACCTGGAGTGTGCAAAACCCCTTTTCCTGATGCAACAGGCGTGTCAGTGGTGTTTTCACGACACCCTGTGTATATAGAACATACATCAACACTAACCTGACTCACACATTGTAGAACTGGCACTCTTCAAAAACATCCTTGGAGGAACATGGAGGAACCGAATAGGACCCTAACTCCATCCGTTTTGCAGTATGATGATAATGATAATGCTTGGCCATGGTCTTTACAAAAATCGTCATGCCACACCACAATTCTTGGAGCCTTGGAGTCCAAGAACTGTTTTGCAACAACCACACTGCACAGGAAGTCCCCACCTTGCCAACCATGGCAAATGTATTTGTTGTATTTCAGAATGAACACGTTGCACAAAATACTGAAGGAACAATATGTTGAGTGCTGGGGAGTCTCAGCATGTTCAAATCTCCAATCGAAACCCAACCCGTCCGAGCCTGACTTCAAAAGCACCTGCCGCTTGCGCAAACTGTTCGTTTGAATTCACCAAAATCCATCAACACGATCACGATGTGCTGTTTTGTGGAGTTCAATGGAAAACCTTTTCAATCCCACGGTTTCGTTCTCACGGTTTTGTTCTGATGACATTTTTCAATTTTGTCACTTGGAGATGTTTCATGTGACCCATTTCACGGAACAACACTGGTTTCGTGCAAATTCTTTGCTATATTATTGCAGACTCGTTGAACATTATTTGGACAAATTGAACTGGACCTTCTGAACAAATGCCATGAACACCCTCAAGCAAACATGTAAACCATCATGCCCTCCATGCAACCTCTTTCAGTTCTGGGTTCCCAAATCCCAGAACCGCACCTTGATGGTCTGATCGCTGAACGTCCGCTCCGTCAGGTCGTCTGGGACATCCTCGTGGGCCGTGCGCGAGCCAAAAGGAAAGCAACGTGTTACTAGTAGTAAGGCACTTGTTACTACTAGCGATGCACTTGTTCCTAGTAGCTTCTTGTTACTACTAGTAAGGCACTTGCTCCTAGTAGCGATGCCCTTTGCTATTGGAAATCATTTCGTCCTGAAAAAACCGGACATGATGATCATTGCGCGCGCAACGTCCACAAACACATGCAAATTAATGCAACATCGGCAACCATTTTGCATGTATACGGGGATAAACCAAAAAACAAAATACCACAAAGAATGCATCTTGTGAAACGGTAGTGCACGGGAACCTTGCTCTTGATTTTCCTCTACTAGTAGGTGTCTGACAGTGTCTGACGGTTCTTTTTCGATGTCAACTATCGTGTTCTACAACAATGCCATCGGAATAGGTCCTCCTTGCTAGTTGCTTTATGGTGCACGCAGCATCACGTCGCCAACAAGCAGCTTAGGCCTTATAAGCCAACAACAACAACTCGATACAATTCGATACACCTAGACCATGGTTGTGCGTCCCATTTCTTCTTGAAAGTCGACCTTCCCCCGTCGTTCTTTTGAGCCAAGTGTCGGTCTGAATGTGCTGCGCGATAAACGCCAGCTGCTCAAGAAAACCTAGGCTCACAGGATCGATCACGAGCTCATTTTCGGCAGATAAGCAGGGGTAGTGCTGCAAGCCTGCAGTCCAGCCTTCTCATACACCAAGCTTTCCCCTCAGAGTACACCCCCGACCCACCACACTGGGGACGTGTCTCAACCAGTGGTTTACACCTGTGGCCCCCAGAGCGAGGAGCGCTTCCAAGTAGCGGTCAGCTTAGTCCAGGAGCTGTTTCTGACAGCTTCATCTACCGAAACATGCTGGCGTGCAGCCAACACCAGCAAGGACGGACATTTGGGCAGGATGCACAAGCGTGCGCTGTCAAGTTCCTAAATATCGTTCTGCTGCAAAAGACGGTCTTGTCCCATCTACACGACTGCGTTTGTAGAGATTTCACCTTCCTGGAAACAACAACCACGACCAACGAGTGTCTGAGAAGATTGTCACCTCGTTGAGGACTACGCAGCAGCCTGGTCCGAGGCCAAGTCAGGTCATTGAATCGAGAAGCCCTTTGTCCATTAGATTCATTCAGGATACATATGCAAATAGAAACATCGTAGATAACAAGAAACGACTTATACACATCTTAGATTGGATTATCGTCTTGGCAGCTTCCACAGAAAAAAAAATGGGTCAGGGTCACGCCGTGACAAAATAAGTCAACCAATAACTTTGTCAAAGACATGAAATTCTGAAACTGTCATGAACATGCATATTATCTAGTGCAACATGTTTTTTGAAGTAGCAACTACCATCCAACAATCATGGTGCAACATGTTTATGTACAGGTCAACAGTGTTCCAGCGAGCCATCGTCCACTTCCACGATTGTTGGAGGGACGGTATGATCAACTTTGTAAACCTGATTGAATGGACTGAAGTCGTTGAGGATCTTAGATATGCTGATTTTGTGTGCATCCTCTCCCTCTTCTTCATGTGCAACCGAGTCTTGCAACCGAACCCTGCCAAACAGATTCAGAGGCTTCAGCCTGATCTGCAGGAAATCAGCAAAGCCATGACTCTCATAGTGATATATGGTCTGGTAAATTCACATGATGGTGATCAGTCTTCTGATGACATAATCCGGTCCTTCGTTCAGCCCGGACTGCATTGGGTCACAGGCATGTTTGGCCACTGTAACTCCGTCATGGCACAAAGCATGCCTTCTCTCACGAGCAAAGGCTTCCCAAACAAAAAAATCAAACAATAAAGCCTGAATCAATTGTAAGGTCTCCTGCACCTACTTGCGTATATCGGCTGGACAGTTAAACAATCTCTGCTAGCTGCGGACATTCTCGGAAAT